CACTCTTGCTTGATAAACAATACTTTCCCGATGTGACTGACTTACACTACCATATGATCTTTTCATAACAAGACTTGTATGCCGACACATTAGCGATTGCACTGAAATGAGTTCGCATTCAGAGTTTTCTATACACGAGAGATGTCAATTGATTTTAGACGACGATTTGATCATGAAAATAATCATATTAGTATGAATCAATCGAAGAAAATAACACAATTTTAACGGCTCTTTCTACTGAAAAACTCATTATTTTAAAATACTTTCGCTCAACATGACTTGCTGTCTAGCGTCTCTGCACACACTTGAGAATTCCCAGAAGGAAACCTTTCAATTTTACAACCGGTGAAAAGATATGCCTAAACTAATATCTTTAGGGATTCACACCGTCTGGGTGACGATAAAGAGAAGCACCAACCAACTATAGTCATGTGTTTCATTCGAAAGTGTCTTTGTCATAATCTATCGAAGTCGATCATAGGCCAATATTTTTGCGTGAAAATATTAAAGTAGCCGTATGTTCCTACACCATAAGCTGACCCTTGTTCAATATCCAACTTTTCTTTTTGAAAACTTTGGAGATTATCATAGTGTTTTTGTCAAAGTTTCGACCGACCATTTTTCTTTTAGCTACGGGATTCGATGCGATCAGACAACAATATCAAGAGTATTGTATTGAGCTTATCATGAACCCATTAACGTCTTTCTCCATCAACCAAAGCTACATCAATTTAGCCATCATTGAGACCAAAGAGCAACAAGAAAAAGAAGAGAAACTTCGTAATACTCAGCATAGCGAAACGATCATCAGCACGTTTGAAGAGATATACGGTACGAAGACTATAATAGAAATCGAAGACATGCTCGAAACATGCAAGGATCACACGAAGAAAGTGCTCGTATTTGGTCGAGCTGGGATTGGAAAAACAACATTTTGTCGATATGTTGCTTATCAATGGGCTAAAGACATAATTTGGTCACAATACGAACTGCTTGTTTTGATTACACTTCGTCGTCTAACTGAAAGTCGTTATCCTAAAGACAAGAATTATTCTCTTATAGATCTTGTAAAAAAGGAATATTTTCTGCATGACGCTTTATCAAAGCAAGACGAAAGCCTTTTCGAAGAGCAGTGTCGTAAAGGGAAAGTCCTCTGGCTATTGGATGGTTACGACGAATTTGTGCAAAATATACCAGAACAATTGAACGATTTATTCAAAGAGTTACTTCAGACACAACATCATATATTAACTTCTCGTCCATACATGATGGACTTACGGTATATTGTTCAAATGGAGATTATAGGATTCACAGATGATAATATTCCTAAATACATCAAGCAGTTCTTCGATTCCATAAAAGATGAAGCACAGAATTCATCCTCTGTAGATGAAAAAATCTTAAACTTTCTCAAGCGGAACCCTAGAATTTGGGGTATATCACATATTCCCATAAATTTAGAACTCATTTGTAGTGTTTGGGTTGATACTGATTGGGTAGAAACAAAATCACTAACAATCACGGAACTCTACGATGAAATTACCGCATGGCTATGTCGACGATACATGGCAAGGCAAAATAAAAGTATTCAAATGTTTACAGCGGAAATTTTTGAAGAGTGCCATAAGGAACTGGGATTCTTGGAAATGTTAGCTTTTAAAGGAATGGAAAAAAACAGAATTATTCTACGACCGAAATTGCTAACAGACGCTTTCACGAAAACCAACTACTCGTCAAAAGACTTCATGAACTTACTCAAAATCGGTATTCTAAAATCATTGAACGATAGTAAGCCAATTGGTAGTCAAATAGAAGTACACAAAGATCATTACTTTGTACATCTCAGCTTTCAAGAATATTTTGCAGCACGATATTTGGTTACTGCTCTCGATTCTAGTGAATCTCACAAAATGATTGAGTTTATCCATGAGCATAAATACGACCGACGCTTTGGATTAATGTTAAGTTTTGCATCTGGACTTCTCGCAAACAGCAATAATACCAAACATATCGATACATTCTGGAGCACAATCTTAGGAGAACCATTAGATAAGGTTGGCATAAGACACATGGAAATTGTTATTTCTTGCCTCGAAGAGGCGTATCAAATCAACAACTTCAAACGATCCAAAGAATTATTAGACTATATTATCGAATGTGTACAATGCGCCGTGCACTCCGAGCATCGCGAGATATGCAGATACCTAAACAATGCCTTACACCGATGCCCCTCCATAGCGAACGAAAATAGACTAATCGAAATTTTCATCGTTCTTCTGAGAACCAACGATGAGCAGACAAAGGTGAATATCCTCTTACTGATAAACGACTTACCAATTTTCAATCCACCACAAAAGTTAACGCAGTTACTGATGACTGCACTGGAGGATACAAATAATATGATTAGATGGTACTCATGTAGCGCTCTCGGTAGGATGGCAGAAACAGCAGCAACGAAGGACGTAATCGCAGCGCTGGTCACCGCACTGGGAGATAAAATTAATTTGATCTACAACACGGCATGTATGGCTCTCTCTAGGTTAAGTGAAAAAGCAGCAACGAATGATGTGAACGCAGCGTTAGTAGCCGCACTGAAGAATCCAAATGATAATGTCAGAACAACTGCATGTGGCGCTCTCCGTATGATCGGTGCAAAAGCAGCAACGAATGACGTAATAGCAGCGCTGGTGACTGCACTGGAAGATGAAAGTGACTGGGTCAGACAAAATGCATATTTAGCTCTCTGTCGGATGAGTGAAAAAGCAGCAACGAATGACCTGATCATAGCACAGGTGACGGCACGGAAGGAGGGCAATCATGTCATACAGGAGGCATGTGAAGCTCTCAATCGGATTGGTGAAAAAGCAGCAACAAATAACGTGATCGCAGCGCTGATGGCCACACTGGGGTATGCGAAGGATTATACCACGGCGGATGTGTGTAAATCTCTCAGTCGGATGGGTGTAAAAACAGCAACAAATGACGTAATCGCAGCAATCGTCATGGCCCTGAACCATACGAGTGATAATGTCAGACGAGAAGCATGTAAAGCTCTCGGTCGGATAGGCGAAAAAGCAATAACAAAGGAGGTGGTGGCAGCGCTGGCGAACGCACGGAACGATGGGTATTATGGCGTCACGAGCGAGGCATGTAAAGCTCTCGATCAACTAGGTGAAAAAGCAGCAACAAAGGAGTTGATCGCAGTGCTGATGACTGCGCTGAAGCATGGGAATGATAATGCCAGACAAGGGGCATTTGAAGTTCTCAGTCGGATAGGTGAAAAAGCAGCAACAAATGAAGTGATCGAAGTACTGATGAGTGCGCTGAAGCTTGGGGATGGTTATTCCAGACAGAGAGCATGTAAAGCTCTCGGTCGGATAGGTGAAAAAGCAGCAACGAAGGAGGTGATTGCAGCGCTGGCGACCGCACTGGACGATGCGACTTATCACGTCAGCAGCGAGGCAAGTGAAGCTCTCGGTCAACTAGGTGAAAAAACAACAACAAATGACGTAATCGCAACGCTCCTCGTCAGCCTGAAGCATATCAATGATAATGTCAAACGAGAAGCATGTAAAGCTCTCGGTCGGATAGGTGAAAAAGCAACAACAAAGGAGGTGATTGCATCGCTGGCAACCGCACAGCACGACGCGAGTGATAAGGTCAGTCGCGAGGCAGGTGTAGCTCTCGGTCAGCTAGGTGAAAAAGCTGCAACGAATGAGATCATCACAGAGCTGATGATTGCACTGAAGAATGTGAATGATAATGCCAGACAAGGGGCATGCGAAGCTCTCAATCGGATGGGTGAAAAAGCAGCAACGACTAAGGTGATTGAAGAGCTGGAGACTGCACTCCAGGATGCGAATAGCGATGTCAGACGGCAGGCATCTAGAGCTCTCGGTCAAATGGGTGAAAAAGCAGCAACGAGTAACGTTATTAGCAGATTATTAGATGTTGCTGATTACGAATCGCTGCGAAAAGTTTTGCTGTCGGCGTCTTCGTTGTCTAACCTAGATTCGAATACAGTTTCAAAATTATTCAAATTATGGAATGTCGATAGTTGGAAGATGCGCAATATGCCTTTGGAGAAAATTATGATGGCATATTGTGATACAAAAATCGTTGAATGGTGCTCTATTATTGGCCGGCATTCTGTTCGTACGAGTTGTGCTGTTACTATTGTTAACCAGACGATTATGGTATATGGCAATTCGAAACCAGTAAAATTTGACATGCCGAACAGCACACTTTGCGACGAATTGATTCGTATGTTTGCTAGCCTGAGAGGACTGGCTGTTTACCTGTATAATGAATCGACAGCAAGAGAAGATCAGTCGACCGCATAAGACACTGGCTGAGCTGTACTGAAATAGGATATTATAACTGGGTTATGCATTCGTTTGAAGTGAGAGTGACAGAATCGTTCCAACGTTGGTCCCTGCCCCTTACCCACCCCGTCTCCCTCATTACCAGTAGACGAGTAGAAAAATAAATTGAAATGATATCATACGTTGTCATACGGGGGCGCCTAGAGAGATTCTTGAGGGTGTGGGTGTTAGTGTGAGGTGTGGGTGTGAGTGTGGGTGGGTGGGTGTCTGGGTGTAGGTGTGGCTGTGGGTGGGTGGGGTGTGGGTGGGTGTTGTTCTTCTTTTCACCACCCACACCCACACGCCCACACCCACACTCACACTCACACCCACCCACACCCACACGCCCACACCCACACTCACACTCACACCCACCCACACCCAAACGCCCACACCCACACACCCACCCACACCCACACCCACCAACACCCACACCCACACCCACACCCAC